TACAGTTTTTTTGGTTATTTTGGATTTCAACTTTTTTTTTATTTTAATCTCTTTAATCTTTGCACGAATTCAGTTCTTACCTTACTATGTTAAGTAGACGATTGTCAATGCATGACGAAAAATCATGTTGGCTCTACCTTTTCAACCTTTGATTTGTTGCTTTTCTGCAAGTTTTCTTTTAAACTTGTGATCGTAACATACACCATTGTAAACGAGCGCGTGTAGCGCAGTGGTTGGAGGCGCTCTGCAATACACACGTGGTCTTCGCTCTTGGCTCAACGAGCCTTCCAACACACGCGATGAACAAAGTGGTAACACACTGTTTTTAAAAGGCTAAGAAACACTGATTAAGTACACCGGCAAACCATCGCATGTGATTGTATAGCCTGGGTGTACAGGAAATCGCCTCTAACGACGCATGACGAAGTCGAATGTATGGTGCATCCCTCAAGAATTCATCAATACCGAATGTTTTATTCTCTACCTCTATCTTGATAATTTTATTGCCGAGGTTAAATGACCGTGGGTTTGTGAAATATTACTTTGCTATTCGCTATGTGCTAATTAACATAGTGTTGAGTGCTGCAAGATGGATTATCTTTTGAAAAAAAAATTATTATCATCAGATGGTCATATCAGCAACAATACTGCCCTGTATAAAAGAACACTGCCGGTTGAGCACGCCTCATTCGTGCGGTTTTCCACCGAAGAACTTCTTTTTCAGTACGACAACGAAAAAGCCACATTGCCACATTGAGAAGCCTCTAGACTATGGAGTCGGATCATCGGCTTTGATGAAGACAAAGACGTCGAAACGTTAGCCGAATAAAGCTAGTTTATCAAACTCATGCAAGCTCAACAATTTAAACACATGTTGACCATTTTACTATCGAATTCATCGCTTATTCCTTACCTTTTTATCATGTAATGCCACTGTAGAGCATGAATTTGGTTCATCATCTCTAAGGCTTAGTGTTTTTACTTTTATTTTAATTTTTGACTACATTTAAGCTTTTAAGACAAGGTTACACAATAACGAAAGCTGAAATAATTTTTCCACAAGAATTCAAAAAAGAAACCCGAATATAGAGGTGCAGAAGCGGTGTACTACATAAAAGTTGCATACCTCTGACGAATCGTTGGCCATAGTGCGATCTTATGTTGCTTTTAAAAGTATGGTGATGAAGATACTGAGCTTGAAGATGTGGATGGTTAGTCACCCTCTATTTTCGGCTTTGAGCACATAGAAAAAAACATCCACAATCTTAGTGACAACGTTGCAGCATAGAAATACTCTGCCAGGAAACTGACAAAGTACCTCTGGGGCTGCTAAATCTAATATCGATGTCGATTCTTCAAATATAATACTGCCAAGTCTAGCGTATTAAGGTTTCCTAAACACTCGCCACACAAATGTCTTTATGAAAGTGGAATGAACAATGGTACAGATCTCTACTTCACTCACCTTTTCAGTCGAACCTTTAGTAAGTTGAATATCATTTTTGTTTAACTCACCAGTTAATCGTTAGAGAAATCATGTACAACCGATCCACTGCCAAAGTGACTTCATAAGATTCGCATTCTCCGAATAAGTGGGATTTTATCGTAACAATATAAATGAATGTGCTTCTTGGTCGAAATGTGTTAGATGTAGCGAAGGAGAAAGCTAAGAGAACTTTCACAGCAACATAAGTAGTGGCTTAGAAAATATGAAGAAGCAACGGAGAATTATAAAGACGTGGCAATTCACACAGAAGAAACAATCTAGATCTTTCCTCTGCAAAAGGCTTAACGAACGAATTTTAGAAATTACGCAGAGTTAAGTTTTAGTTCACCATTAACTGTCGAGTAAATCAAGCTAGTATTAGTTAATTCTGCATTTCCCAAAGCTACTAAGTGGATTCCGTTTGCAGCTGTGGGCACAACATGCCGTAGGTTTCTAAAACAATATTTTAAACTACACTGTATTTAACCACAACGTTGCTGAGATATTTGCAAAACTCCGCACCGCAGTTGTCTGCGGCGGGGAACGAACGCACTATTGCCTTTTCCGGGGAGTAACGCATTCACCACCACAACATAAGGGTCCTTCGTTTCGCCTGTCTCTCAGCTAGTTCTATTGATCTTTTGCCATCAGCAATCACCCGTCAGCGGGGTTGATCTGGGGAGCGCAAATCGGCATAGAACCCAGTTAAGCTATGGCTGCAGTTGAAATCACAATGTTTAACGTTTTTGTTTTCTGCCTTCTATAATTTTTCTAATCTATAATAATGGGTGATTGCTGTGGCAAAAAGATCGATAGAAATAGCTGAGAGACGTGCGAAACAAAGGACCCGCATGGTGTGGTGGTGAACGCGTTACTCCCCGGAAAGGACAATAGCGCGTTCGTTCCCCACCATAGACACCTGCGGTCCAGAGTTTTGCAAATATCTCAGCAACGTTGTGGTTGTATTTCGCTTAGTAACCTGCCATGAAAATTATAGAAGGCAGAAAACAAAAACGTTATACACTGTATTTAGTGAAATAACAGCCATAGCCTACTTTTCACACTTTGAAATGACAGGAATTTTTTCCTAGCAGTTCTTTGAACTGGAAATGTTAATAAATGCTCAGCTCGGGCGATCATGACGAATACTAGATCTTGCTGTATACTGCAGTTAAACACCTAACATGTTCGCATAACCCAGCAACCAAAGAATTCGTTGCAAATAACTGTTATTATAAAAAGCGGTGGGTTTTTTTTTGAGAAATTGTTGATTATGTGATTACCAAAGAGTCTTTCGTCATTTTGTAAGTGTCATTGAAGCGTTTGGCCTAGTAGATTGTATATCAGTGTACCCTTCCAGGCACTGAAGAAGGCGATACTGCCGAAACGTCAGCTAGCGTTGTATTGTATTGTGTTTTTATGGAAGTAAATGTATGCTGTTTAAAAACCTCGCGATTGCTGAACAAGAAAACGACACATTCATATTCCAATGCCGAGGTTAATAGGAAGTCGATCCTGGGAACTGTTATTATAGTATTTGTGGTAAGTTGAAAGCTACTAAAGTGTTTCTACGCAACATGAGGTTCAGATAGATATAGTATGTCTAGCACGTTTCGTAAACTATTTATTGTCGATTTTTACCGGTCTCGTGAATACGTCACCAAATCCGAATGTATATTGAGTTGTAAAGAGGTAACTCGTCCTGGTTTTTTTCTGAGATGTTTGTGCATCTACGCAATCACGTTTGCCAGTAAGTCGAAGTAAGTAGGCGAATTTCGACAAGAAGGAATTCGGAAATGGGCCCAATGGCTCATGTAATAACCAATACATTACTTTTTTTCAGATCTTAGACTTTAAAGCACTATGAGTTTTCATTAAGCATAAATAGGGATAGTTAGCACATAATTCAACATTAATATAATTCGTGCTGATTGATTGCAGGTAAACCGAAAGATCTTCAAATCTTTTGTCTTTTGGTTTTTGCCTTGGCAAACTAACCAACTTTGAATATGAGAAACCTGTTTACTAGTTTCATCCGCAAAAACACTAGATAGCGCAGACTTATTAGAACAAGCTGAAGCTATTATTTGTCAGATAACAAATTATTCTTTGTAAGTCTTCGCTGTAAAATATATGAAAAGATTTCCTAACACTACGAAGGGTTGAGTGTTTCTAGAAATGAACTTACGTTTTTATTGTCTATGGAAACTTCTTGCCAATAAAATAACTTTACTTTTTCATACCGTTTTTCCTTTCTTCTTTTCATGTTTTGTTTTTCAATGAGCGTGAAAGAGTAAGCGGGATTTGACAAGGGACGACCGAATGTTAAATGCACGAGAGATTTTATGAATGGCGATATTGGCTGCAAATAATACTAAATGTTGAGAAATTATCCGAAAATTAGCTATGGTTCTTCTTCCATGCACAGTTCGTAACTAGTTTCCCACTACAGTATTGGATATTTGGAATGGTGGTGATTGCATTAGTACCAGAAAGGGTAGTGGCGTGTTCGATCCTCACCACAAACACCTTGTGACCAGAGTTTTGCAAATATCTCAGCTTCATCGTGGCTGTATTTCACATAATACCCTGATGTGAAAAAGTGCAATGAAACGTTAAAATTCAAAAAGTTCGCTCATTTGTCATCCAGGTTTCCAAGGAATTTACTGTGCGTATTTAGGAGAGTGAAATTTATTGCCAGAAGAACTTTTGACCAAAGAAAATTTCCGTATTAGGCTCTTTTTGGCTACAAAGCTTATTATTTGTTACTTTATCTACGTGGAACAGCTAAGTTTTTAGATATCTTTCCTTTCCATCATTACCATCTAGAATTTTGTCCTAAAGAGATTACTGCTCTAATGATGCTATCAAACACGTTGCATTTTCAGCCAGATTGTTAGAGTAGTGCAAAAATATTTCCAAATGATTTGGAACCGCTCATATTTAAAAACCAATTGTTTTTAGTAATTGTCCGTGCACTCGCTAGAAACTCAAAAGAGGCATAGAATGGCATAGAAGTAAAAAGGCATAAGCAAAACATTTTCAAAAACTTAAACCTACGGTAAAACATTCCTAGCCAGTTAAGTGTAGGCGTAAGATTGATGGATTTGTAATATTTTAGCAAATTCACTTGTAGCAGCTACTTGTGTATTGATTTACGAAACATTCGAACATTGAGAAAACTGGAAATTTGCATCGACGGATGATTTCATTGTTTAATTCTCTGCTATTTTATCATGTTAAGGAGTTTGGTTGAACGTTTTTTTCTTCTTCATAGAACGAACGCGATACCTGCTGGAATGAGTGACTCATACCATTCGCCAAAATTTATTTCGACAACAGTCTCTTCATTGTCGTATTCGCGCAATCGCATCAAGAACAAACCTATATAAGTAACCCATTTGCCTTCTGCAATAATGGCGTCTCTACCTTGGTTCCTTACTATCTTTTGCCTGATCGGCTCAATATCTTCTCTTAAACGGTTAGTGGTAAGCAAAATGTGTTCATTATTAGCATGGTGGGCAAGTTTTTCTATGGCTCGTTCATATTCAAAAATTTCAGGACAAAACGTGGCAGCTATGAAAGGCCCAGCTACATAGGGAAGCAGTATGATGAAAGCCAGCAACTATCACCGCCTGGGAGCATCGGACCACCAACTCCAATAAAGCCTTCACAAACAGGATATGTGCCAGTAAAGCAGCCACCACCACCACCTTACGCACCCCCGCCTCCACCACAGCCTTACGTGCCGCCAGCACCACCACCTCCACCGCCACCGCCACCCCCATCACCACGACCAACTTACGGATTGAAACAAGGCCCATCTAGCTATGGTAGACCACCTTATGTTGAACCACCACCACATTACAGGCCGAAGAAAGGCTACGGTAGACCAGCAATTGTAAGCCCACCATCACTTTACAGACCAAGGCTAAGCTATGGCAGACCACCGCAGCCTTATCCACCATTCATAGAAGATCCTTTTCCACATGGTTCTTTTAGTCCACAAGAGTTTTCACCTGAAAACTTTGGAGAGCAGTTTGGTCCAATTGGTCCATTTGGCACTGGAATGAATCCTCAATTCCCACTGCTGGGACAGCAATCGCCCACTGGTTTCCCAGGCAGCCAAGCACTTGTACCTGCATCTTCTAAGATTGCTGAAGACCCCTCCTTGAAGAAGACTGTCTAAGCTGCTTATTGCTGTAGTTGTTATATTACATACGTTCTTAATTTTTATTTCCACAATGAAATAGTTTTAAAAGTCGGCTTTCCAGATGGTTTTAAAAAGAATATTTAGTAGCAAGTAAGGTTAGAAAAGTACATATAACACCGATATAGTACTACTAAGACATTTCAGTGAAGGGGTCGCTTCACTAAAAGAAATTCGGTTGCCCTTCCATTGAATTAAGTAACAGCTTTTACAATAAACTCGACAATCTCTGAAAGCCGGTTATATGTATTTACAAAAGAAGTCCTTGAACGTTTCATTGCAAAACATCAACTACTTGTGCATTATAGTTAGTAAATTCTTTAGTTAGAGACAATTTTTAAAGATAATGGATCAACGATGAAAGCAGGTGATTACTTTAATGATTAACTGATGTAAAAATTGTCCTACACTTACATGATCGCTTGAACGCTCCATTTTCACAACGAGTTGTGTATTCCCTAACATACTGTCCATTTAACGACGTTGTCTTGGTTTCGCAAGATTTTGTTCCCATAGCATCCTGAAATTTTAGAGCTAGGGTTTTGCTAATTCATCACCACATACATTCATTTGCCGGCTCATCTGAATCGGAGAGACATTCCCCGCTTTGCTGCGAGATTTTCTCAATTGATGCAACGCGAATTCTGATATTGCTCTACACTTAACTAAGGTTCTGGTAAGATGTATAGGAATCTTTGCTAGTTTGAGAGAGTATCCGTCGATAACTAATTTCCTGCAGTAACATAGATCATAGTACGACACGCGGGAAGATTCTGTATTGAGATTTTAAAAAATTTAGAAAATCGTTGCTTAAACACTAAAAGTAGGTTTTAACTGGAACTTTGCAAAGTGAAATAAAAATTTTGCAAAATCCTTTTTACGGTCAGTGATCGCCTGTTTTTTTTTCTCACAGTGAGCTTACCATTCCGGTTTCCATCACACTTGCGCAGATTTCATCGAAATGGTCCCTTCAATCCCCTCATTTCCATAGAAGTGCTAAATATTAAAGTGAGATAGACAGAGATCAAAATACAAGACAAAAACTTTATGAACTTCCACGACCGACTTTCTATTAACCTCGGCATTGATCAAGTGATTTTGTTCGTATTTTTTTTGAGCAAACGCGAGGTGTTATTGTTCTTTGTTCACGATTAAGCTGACGTTTCGGCGAATTTCGCCTTCTTCAGAGCCTGGAAAGGTCAAGTTGATAGCAACTCACTCGGCCAGACGCCTCCATAACCAAACAAAGAAACCCCAAACCAAGATTTCAATCACTTTGAACACAGCTTTGCACACTCACCGCTTTCTATGAGGTCTCCACTAAGTATGTCACGTAGAGACCAACCGCACAGAAATCACGTGGAAGTATAATGTGCCCCTCACATCAGAAAAGCAGTTTTATATACTGCCCTATATCACGCGTGAATGAGGCATTCTTCCCTGCGAAGATTCGAAGATTCTTCTTCATTCATTCCCATTCTTCCTTTTATGAACTTCACTTACTATTGATTTCAAGCTACTGTCGTATTCTACACTCGCTAAGGCTGCAACGATGTTTTCCGATAAATTGGCTTCTTGGTAGGTGCCCTCATTTGAAGGAAAGATTTATTTGACCTTACTCAAGCGATCTCGATCGCTGGATATCACAGCAGGCCTCTAACCTCGTATTCATCCAAGAGATGTTCAGCAACAAGGTTGAAATATTTTAATTTGAGCGGGTCTTACCGGGACGTACCGATATCAAGAAAGGGAATGTTTCTCGGTATTTGTGCAACATTGGAAGATCTAAATATTTCACTTATTTGATCAATGCTTTCTGCCACTTCGTGAGTACTTCTAACTTATAATTCATTCATAGACAGAAGCAGATTTTTCCATCCCAACGGTGTAGCGGCTCCTACGAGCTTTCTATGTCGTCTTTTTAGAATGCACTTCGTAGTTACAGTCTCCAATTACCCAACTGATGATTCGTCAATATTTTCCAATTTTAAACTTCGTTTTGCACGAGAAGAAATGATGATGGAATACGAAAAAAGTGAATGTTTTCTTCATTGGCAGATACCAGCTTGTTATCAATCTCTTTTCTGTATTTCAAAAAACCTTAACTAACTGATGAATGCCGTGACTAAATAAAAATCAGTGTTGGAAATGTGAAAGAGCTCTGAATTGTTGAGCGGAAAATCGATCCAAAAAATTACTTCGAAAACTAGTAAAAAGAAAACCAGTTGCTATGCTGGGTGATTGCGTAAATCATGATAGGACTGGTTCCACAACAAAGGACTACCGTGGACAAAGTCGTAAAAATAAATTTGCACTGATTCTGTCAACACACTTTGTAAAAGAAAAATATGTTTGCATCGTTTTCTTGTTCAGCAATCGCGAGGCTTTTAAACAGCATACATTTACTTTCACAGAAAACACACAATACAATACAACGCTAGCTGACGTTTCGGCAGTATCGCCTTCTTCAGAGCCTGGAAGGGTAAACTGATATACAATCTACTAGGCCAAACGCTTCAATAACACTTACAAAAAGACAAAGAACTCTCCGATAATTACATAATCAACAACTTTTCGAAACAACGCATTTTACGTGACTTGCAATGACGAAGATTAGAAAATATGATTATAATCGCATATGGTTGATGACTGCACCATCCCACATCAGAAATTGATACGAACATACGGAGTCAGGTCGCGTATGACCTCTGGGCATTCCTCCCTACTATTCATTGTAGGGTTTTTGGCATTTATCTAAAAAGTCTCAGAAGGTTTTCGGGTTGCTGTTTACTCTCCTGTGCAAGGATATTGACTTTTAGTCCAAAATCGTCTGCGCTATGCTTTTGTATCCTATGCGTGCCTAGTAGAGTGCTACCTTAGTTCTCGTTTCCCATCTAGGTGTTCTTTTATACGGATACACAAATGTCTGCCCGTTTCGCCAATATATTCATCTTCACAATTATTACAAGGGGTCGGGTATTCCGTACCTGAACTCACGCAGTCACCGTCCCTGCCGTAAGGGCAAATTACGCAATATGTTGTTCCACATAGACGGTCATACAGGCGGTTACGAACTAACTGACGGGGTGGAGTAGCCGGTAGTATCTCAACTATCGCTACCGATTCCTGTAGACCTGCCTTTCTTAAGCACTGTGTAATAGCTACGCTTACTTCATCGCTTATAAAAAGCAACATAAACGGGACTTTCCCTTGGCCGAGTGTTTCGCTTGGGCGCGTCGTTCTCCTTGTAAACTTATCTCGTGGCGTTACTATTTCGTAGCCATTGGAGATGGCTATTTGCCGAGCCAAGGCGCGCGATTCTTCCTTTAGTTCGTTGGTTGTGCACACAGAGGTGGCTGTTCGAAACATGTTTCTCACATGCGCCCTCTTTGTGTGTGAAGGGTGGGAAGAAAGGAAATGAACGAGGATGTTCTTGTTACTTGGCTTTCGGTCCCACTTTGCCAAGCAGCCGCTACTTGACAGGTTTATTTTAAGGTTTAATAACACAAGCCAGTTTTTTTTCGGCTTTTCCGGGTGAACTTTATGTACTCTGACTACTCGTTCAATAATTCAAAGCATTTGTTCTTCTTCTTCTGCGCAGAGAAGACGACAAAACGATAACCTAGTAGAGTAGAGGAGATCGTGAAGAGGGCTTCAATCGTACACAATGACAAGGCTTGATGCCAGTCGCTGTACCATTGCCAACCCCCTTATATGCACGAAATATTTTTCAGACCATCTGAAAATCGAGCGGTTTAGGCACTTTTTTAAGAGAGCCATTAGCTGCTGGATAGACAAGCCATGCATATTTATTCTTCCTTCATGCTTCACAAGAAGTTCGAAGATAGCATGCATTGCGGCGTCATTCGATACGTTGGTTTACAGCGCGGTAACGTCGAAGGACTCCATCACATACGCGTTGTTAGAAGAAGCGTTACGTAGACGTTCTAGCAACATTTGGGTGTTTGTGAGGTGAACTGGAATGTGATTAAGCAATTGGTTAAGTATTAGGCTTAAAAACCAGGTTATTCTACCCGTTGGCCCATCTACACAGCTGATGATGGGTCTAACCTTAAATGATGACGGATTGGTTGAGTCAAGATTATCGGATAATACCAACTTATGTAACTCCCACGACCGATTTTCTACTAACCTCGGCATTGATCAAGTAATTTTTCGTATTTTTGTTGAGCAAACGCGAGGTGTTATTATTCCTTATTCACGAATAAGCTGACGTTTCGGCGGATTTCGCCTTCCTCAGAGCCTGCACACTATTCTCCTCCAGAGACGGTCCTCCAAATACTGAGCACAAAAGTTTTTCTTCGTCTCGCAGTTCTTCCACTTGGCGAACATCTGGTTTTGTCGGCTTCGTAGACAGGTGCGTAGTATTCGCAATTAAATGTCCAGCTTATTCGTGAATAAAGAATAATAACACCTGGCTTTTGCTCAACAAAAATACGGACAACCAACTTATGTGTTTTAATAAGTAGGTTAGGACGGGACATGTTGGTTTATCGATTTTAAAGTGCGAAATAACCGATGATTTTAATCCTTCAGCCTTTGCCGCACTGACCCATTGATTGTTTAGCTTTCGGTATTGACTTTTATATTCCATTGATGAATATGATTGAATAGCAGGGGTGAGTGCCCAGAGTTCATATGCTACCTGACCCCGTATGTTCGTATCAATTTCTGATGTGGGATAGTGCAGTCATCAACCACATGCGACTATAATCGACTGTTCTAATCTTCCTCATTGGAGGTCACGAAAAAAGCGGTGAGTTTTTCGAGAAGCTGTTGATCATGTAATTGCCATAGAGCTTTTCGTCTTTTTGTAAGTGTTATTGAAGCGTTTGGTCTAGTAGATTGTGTGTCAGTATAGCCTTCCAGGCTCTGAAGAAGACGAAACTGCCGAAACGTCAGCTAGTGTTGTATTGTACTATGTGTTTTTTATGAAAGTAAATGTATGCTGTTTAACA